CGCGCCCGCCGCCCCGGGCGCCCCCCGCGCCTTCTGCCTCGGCGCCGAGCCCGGCACGCTCTTCGTGGGCTCGCGGCACGGCCTCGTGGAGCTGCGCCCCGGCGCGCGCACGGTGAGGGCCGCGCGGCGACGCCTCCTGCGGGGCGGACAGGCCCTGCCCGCCGCCTCTGTGTGTCGCTGCTTGTCGCTACAAGACGGATTTTGAGGCTTTTTTTGGGTGGTCCTCCGACCTGTTCTGCCTTTGTGGTTTAATACAAAAACTGCCGCACGCACGCAACACGAATGTGTGTATTTACCACAGGTTATTCCCATGGCTCTGTCACAACGCAGCAGTCGTGTCGTGGTCAGGAGGCCAAAGGAAACAGTACAGGGGTGATGAAGGAAGGGTGCAAGGGACAGTCTGTTAAACAACCTCCCTCACTGGCACTGCTGAAATGTGCCCCGAATCCCACGTGGCGCTGGGTTACCGCTCTTTTCCGTGGGCACACACTAGGAGGCAAATGAGCTCCCTTGCTCCATGCTGCTGCTGGTGTCAAAAATGAGCAAGATAAATCAAGTCTCACAGTGTTGCTGTCTTGTTTGCCCCCATTTGTGGGTTTCCTTATGGTCTACATTCCTTAGCATAGGAAGAGCAGTTTCCTGTGGGTGAATATGCCGTTACATGGTACATCAGCTGTTCCGTGGTGCTGCCCATGTGCTCTCATGTGCCATGTGGCTTTGTGTGGATATGCCCTTACCCGTTATCCTGTCATCCTTACAGAAAGCCAAGTGAACTGATACACATTTAACCTTTCTGTGTCCAGGCGACCAGAGAAATCTCCTTGATTGCGGAGGGCTTTTTGCCGGAGGATGGAAGTGGCTGCGTCGTGGGCCTGGAGGAGCTTCCAGAGCAGGAATGTGTGTGTGTTGCCACAGCAGCTGGAGACATCCTGCTGTGCAATCTCAGCACGAAGGAGGTGAGCTGGCCAAGGGAGAGAGATGGGCCCTGAGGTATTTCAGTGGAAAGGAAAGGTTTAGTTTCTTCCGGACCATTGACGTGTTTATGATATGTTGACTATGGCTGGTCTCCATTCTCATCTGGACAGATGGGCTGATTTCTGTTGGTGGCCGGGCCATGACCAAGGGCAGAATATATGCTCGGTAAAATAACTGGAATCCAAATTGCCAGGCTGTTTCTGTGTGTTTGCTAAGGGTGGGATGGTGACATGCACACAGCAGCAGGGGATCCACTCTATGTAGAGTCCCACAGGAATGGGACACTGCTGAGAGTGGGTACAGAGAACAAATATGTGTAACTTGTAGTTTAGCTACCTTTGTATTGGTTATTTTTATTATCAATCAATGTGGAACATTGTGCTGAAATACTGACTTAACTGCAAAGAGGAGAAGTTGGTATGTTATTTGAAGAACATTTGGAATAAAAAATTAAAAGGCAGCAAGGAGAAAACAATATATGTGCAGGTATGGCAGTTGGCGAGATATTTGCTAATTTGTACAATCTTCAGCAAGACCCTTTATGATCTCAGCAACAGTTTTGGAAATCTCTGTCAGCCTCTATTCCTGGTAAGAGCTCCCTGAGTATGAGCCCAAGAGTACCATTTACAGGGAGGCGTGAGAATAGTGGTCAACGCGGACTAGCTGTCAGATTGTAATTATTTCCAGCTTACCCATATTGAATCCTGCTTTGTTCAGATTATTGGTTTGATTTGCCTAAACCACTTAAATGTAAAATTAAAATTTGTCTGAAAACCACTGAAAAACATGCTTTGTATTGTGGCTTATTACTCGTCACTACACTGCACTGTCGGGTAGATCTGAGTTGGAGTTTAACATCAGATCCTGTATTTCAAGGCTTTTTGACTCACTGTCTTGGCTTTAAATTTATGTTATTTTGATGAAGATTGGGTACTAGGAAAGAGACCTGGAAGTTACTCAGCCTGTTCTGAAATTTCTTACATGTGAGAGATGGCCATTCTGCACAGTAGTGTCCAGGATGCTATTCCATTTACCTGAAGTGATTGGGATAACCAAGCTTAATTCTTTGAACAGCATCATCTTCCGTCTTACACAGTTGCCCTATGCCATGGCTGTCTGCAAATTAAGATAATGATGCATGGTAGAAGTCTTCTGCCCACTGCTGCTCCTTGACAGCTCAGTAACCTTTTGAGTTCTCTTGTTTTTTTTTTTTCAAAAATTTCACTGAGGCAAGTGGAACAATATGCAGTTTCCAAGTTTAGCCTACACAAGAAACTTGTGAAATCAGAACCTGAATGGATTTAGCATCCACTAGCTGCATGTTGCAGCTCTCAACACAAGACTTATTATGCCCGTGTTATGTGGCACAAAGCCAGTTGCCTGGTTGGATCTGCGGTTGCACTGATAATACTGGTATTGAGAATGTACGTCCTGACATAAGACTGACTGCTGCATAACAAAAGCTCTTGGGAACAAACAGTGTAAACTCTGACTTGTGGTTTTGCTAAGTATGAAAGCATTTCCTTGGCTTGGTGACTGGTAGATACCACCCTGGGATATTGCTGCCAATGCAGTCACTGCTCAGCAGTGACCCCATTTCTCTCTTGTAGGTGGAATGTGTTGGCACAGTGGACAGTGGTCTGAGCACAATGAGCTGGAGTCCTGATCAAGAGCTTGTCTTGCTTGTAACAGGTACTAACAATATTATATAAGCTTCTTGTCTTTAGGAGAGAGCTTATACTGGTGACTAAAGTGTGTAAAATACAGTTAATTTCAGGATATTGACATCAAAATACAAGATGCATCAGTCTTTCATATCCTTCAAGGATATATGATTTGATTTTGCATCGAAGAAGTGAGGACTCGTGTTACATTCTCAGGTGTCTTCTTAGTAATCAAAATTTCTTCTTGTCCTTTTTTTTTTTTTTCCAACATTTCTACAGATGTTTCTCCCCTAGAAAATAAAGTTAGAGGGTACCACTACAACTAGAGGCAACTAGAGGTACCACTCTAACTAGGAGTTAGAGGGTACCAATACAAATTACTTAGTCCTTCCCAAAACAGAATTAACTGTGGTAGGTTGCTCCAGGCAATCCAGTCCAGGTCCAGTCAAGTTTTAAATGTCTCCAAGAATGGAGACTCCACCACTTCTCTGGGAAACCTATTCCTATGGTAAAACACTCTCACTGTGAAGGGAATTTGATCTCGGTTCATCTCCTGATGAACTTCAAAAGATGAACTGCATGTTCTCCCTCCCGCCCACCTCAGTTAGGTATTTGCACACATTGATCAACTTCCCCACCCTACCATAGCCCTTGCTCCTAGCTTAACAGTCCCAATTCTCTCAGCATCATCGTCTTTGAGAGATATTCCAATAACTTCCATCACCTTCGTGGACCCTCAGTGTATTCACTCCGATATGTCCGTGTCTCCTGGACTGGGGAGCCAAGCACTGGACACAGCACTCTTGTCCATCAGGGACGTGTTGTTCAACAGCACCCTCAGGACCTTTTGTGCCAAGCTGCTCTGCATACAGTCAGCCTGCAACCACTGTAGGAAGACCCCCAAGGTGACCACCATTGATCATCTTCTTGTTTTTAGAGCATCAAGAAAAATATTTTAGAAATAGTATTTTGAAAGTGGGAAGGATCTCTTAAGAATACACCAGGAGGTTTTGTTTTGAAGAGAGTGTAAGGTGTTATAACACTTTCAAACAGTTGTAGCTTGGCTTTGAGAGACTCTTGGCTTTGAAGTCTGTGTTCTCTTTTGTATCATTTTATTATTAAAAACTTTTCTATCCTAAAATCCATGACAGGATAGGACAACACAGGAAAAATCCTTTTTACAATTTTACATCTACTGGAGTTACCATTGCTAATATTGTTTCATGTCTACCCTGTAGGTCAGCAAACCCTCATTATGATGACAAGAGATTTTGAGCCCATTACAGAAAAGCAATTCCACCAAAATGATTTTGGAGAAGGTGAGAGGTTTCACTGAAATGAAGTTGCTCAGACTGATTTCAGCAATGTGTTACAAAATACCTATTAGATAAAGAAATGGAGCTGAGTATTTATTAGACCCCAGGGGCCATTGTACGCTGTAATGCTGCTGGGCAGATTAAGGGAAATGTCAATAACTATTCCAGCTGTCAGCAGAAATCCAAGCAAGTTCCCTGTCCTTGAGTACTTCCTGAGCTATGAGCTAAAGGTTCCTGTGACCATACAGATTTAAGTCTGTATGGAAGATGTGGGTGGCTTCGAGTTGTGTTTGTTCACTGTGTTGTGTAAATTAGCCTTGTAAATCTTCTATGATTGTTTCTTTTCAGAAAAGTTAGTTGCTCTTGGCTGGGGTAAAAAGGAGACACAGTTCCATGGATCAGAAGGAAAACAGGCAGCTCATCGCAAGCAAACGGTACTTTGGTCTTTTTTAAATTTTATTATTATTATTCTTTAAATATTGGACCTAGCTTTTCCAGAATGGGTGCTTGTATAAAGTGATTTTTTTTTCTTTTCTGCAATCCTGGTCTTCTACCACCTTTCCTTGTAGTTGGCCTGTCTCTTTCTCAGATTTCTTTTGTGGTCATTTTCCTATCTGAAGTTCAGCACTCTTACCCTTCTCCTAATTCAGGGCAACAGTGGAAATGTTCACAACTGTTCATGTGGACTCTAATGCAAAGAGATTTCTGAGCATTGAATTCTGAATTTATTATATACTAAGCCATTAATATGTCCAGGAGCTGTAAAATATACAGCATACATTTCAGCCGAGAACAGGAGAAATAGCAGTGGGCTGAGCTCCTTTATGACCTATCATAAGGCAAGGAACTTCAAATCTTTACTCCTTTGTCTAATGTTTTTCTATCTGAGTCTTGTTCAGAGAAAAAAAGAGAGTAGATAAGCATGTGAATAGACAGACATGTACACATGCAGGAAAAGGAGATTGAATTCACATACCATTTAATTACTAGTGTTTTTAACAGTAACATCTGCAAAGAATTTTTACCTCTGTAGCCTTAAGTTGTTTTTAATGGGTTAATTCCATGACAAGGCTCTTGAAAGATGAAGCTTGAAAGAGCGGTGAGCTCTATATAAGCTAAACCAGCAGTTGCTTTTCTGAGCTTTGACACAGTTTTGTCAAATTTCTGAGCTTTTTGTTCTGTGTAAATTTAGGAAGTGCTACCTGCTTCAGCTTGGGATGACAGAAGGCCTCGAGTGGCTTGGAGAGGAGACGGGCAGTTTGTTGCAGTGAGTGCTGTCTGTCCAGAGACAGGTATGGGACAAATTGCTTTGAAATATTAACATGCCTGGGAGGTCTTTTGAGTGGAAACAAGGCAAGGCCAGACATAGCTCTTGGTCCCATAAAAGTAAACCATGGTCCCTTGAAGTTGGAACGTTGAATTAGTTACATGCTCTAGTTATACCAAAAAAAAAAATAGTCTTTTGAACACTTCCTTGGGAGTCTGATTTTTGTACTGAGAAGGGCCATGAGTACTACCCAACCTCTTTTTTTTTTCCACTAGTTTTGAATCGGTGTTCAGGTCACCTGATAAGCACAGGGTAGGGATCTCCAGTGACCTTTCAGTGCCAAATGGAAGAATCTTTTTGTGTCTCTCAAAACACACTGTCCTTCTTAATAGCAGTTTAGACTTAAACGTTTTTGTTTTGGTACTGATTTTACCCTAAAGTTTTCCCTAAAAACGAAAAATGTAACATTCACATTTTTTTTTGAAAAAACTGTAGTTGCTGCTTTTCATGATCAGTCTTATGGTGCACTGTAAGTGCATTTAATTGACTTGCTGAACTGTACCAGCCATCCATACAGTTTGAGCTTTGCCTTTCAGTATTTCACATTAAAAGGAGTTTGCATTCATGGGAAGATCATAACATTTCATCTGGGAAAACTGGAGAGGGAAATGGTCACCTGTGGAAGTGTATGAAAGGGAAAGTTCTATATTAGATTGAGAGTCCTTTCGGTCATTCTTTTTGGGAGAACTGCCTGAAACAGGCAACTGTGGTGTTCTTACACCTTGAGGTGCGCAAGAGAAGCCTCCTCTCCATGAATGTGCACCAGGATTTCCTCCTCTTGACTGTTTCAACCATCTGAAATTTAGAAAGGTCCGTTTCTGATGTCTTCCCACACCCTTATCTCCTTGCTTCTGAAACCTGCAGGTGCTCGCAAGATCCGCGTATGGAACAGAGAACTTGTGCTGCAGTCAACAAGCGAGCCTGTCCCAGGATTAGAACAAGCATTAGCCTGGAAGTGAGTAGCAAGCACTCTGCATGCTGGCAGCCTGGTGCTGATTCTTAATCCCTTAATGCATTTGAGAGCTCAGCTGTATACAGAGGAATAGTGCTATTTGCGTTGTCTCTGCTCACACTTCACCACTAGTCTGAGTGTAACAAGCTCTACAAAATGTTTCTGTAGCACCCATGACTGTAAACAATGCTGAAGAAAATACATACATTCTACTACTCCTTTTCTTTAAGTCCCTTTTATGTGAAAGCTTTATTTCTGGAGAATTTTGGAGTCGATTGTTGTTTAAAAAGATAGTGGATGTATTAGCAGCCACTTTTCATATGATTTTGTTTTAAGACCCTCTGGAAGCTTGATGGCATCCACACAAGAAAAACCCAACAGACACGATGTTGTTTTCTTGGAAAAAAATGGACTTCTTCATGGAGAGTTCACCCTCCCCTTCCAGAAGGGGCAGGTTAAGGTAATTTCTTGTCTTCTTCAGTTAAAATATAATGATAAGAAAGGCATACATCATGCCCCCGAAACTAGGATGAAACCTTTAGCTTAATTCTTATTGCTGGTTCTGCTGAAAAAGCCAGTCTTTTCATGGGGAAGAAGCCTATGGATGCAATCTCCTTAGTAGACTATGGTATGGTTTTAGAGGCAGATATTTGTAGTGGTTCTTCTGGCTGTGCATACCTTCTGTTAGGCAAAAGCTTCACAGCTGCTGTCCAGGATGTCAGCTAGTGCAGGAGTGAGCTGAAATACCCTATTGGAAACAATGCAAGTGAGAATTATTTTCTCACTACTGGGCTGTTGTTTCAGCTTCTGCCTTTGGATGCTGAGAGCCCTTTTGGCAGATGCTTTGTCAGTGCAAAAACTGGAAAGGAGGAACTGTGCAGTCATGTCGGTCCTTCTATCACCTCCTCAGCTGTGCAGAACCTCTGTGAGAGGGATATTCCGTGATTCAGTCTCTCAGAAGCTTGGATGCTTTCTCAGCCCTTTAACCCTTGCTCCTTACACTCTTAAAAGATGAGTGAGTCAGATCTTGCAAACCAGTCTGGAGCACTCCCTCCCTTCCTGATTGTTTCTGCAGATTAATGAACTGCTCTGGAACGCAGACTCTACGATCCTGGCTATATGGCTGGAAGACCTTAAGAAGGATGAGAACTGCAACCCAAACTGTTACGGTGAGAGCGCTCTGTAAGGCTTCGGCTTTTTTGATAACATGGTCAGCACTGGTGTTCCTTGGCTAGTTCAGACCTGTGGAGAGGTTTCCCTGCACCTCAGGGACCCCTATGCAATTCAACTTGAGCTCAAAGCACCTGAATGATTCTAAGGCTTTGGCTTTTCTAAACGAAATGTGCAGTTAAGATTTTCTTTAGGCTTCTTGAAGCAGCTTATTGACTGGAGGGTAGGGAATATCTTTTCCATTGCATTTAACACTCCCCAAGAAAGCAGTGGCAAGGGAAGGCTTTAAATGGCTTTCAAGCAGTAATCTCTGGTAACTATTTGTTTGCTGCAGTTCAGCTATGGACCACAGGAAACTATCACTGGTACCTGAAGCAAAGCCTGCATTTTGGCAACCTGGAGAAAAACCGCTTGGTATCGCTGCTGTGGGACCCCATAATCCCATATCGACTGCACATCCTGTGCCAGGGTTGGCACTACCTCTTCTATGACTGGCATTGGACCACAAACCACGGGATGGGGGAGAGTAGCCAGCATGTGGCAAACGTGGCTGTCATAGATGGAGGTAAGCACTGGGAATGCTCTGGAGCTTTGGAATCAGAGGGGATGCTGCAGCCCAGCCAGGACTGCTGTGCTGCTTCTGTTTCCACAAAGTTGTCAGTAAGAAGGACCATGGAATTGGTGGAAACAGCTTGGTTTCTTTCTCTTTTCTTCCACAGACAAAGTACTTGTCACAGCATTCCAGCACGCTGTGGTGCCCCCACCGATGTGTACCTATCAGCTCCAGGTCACACAGGCAGTGAATCAGATTGCCTTTCACACAGATCCCAAGCACAGTGGGGACCTGGCTGTCCTCGATGCTGGTAACAGGATCACCTTGTATAGATACGGTGAGAGAATATTGCAGTGTGTTGTTAGAAGAAACTTGCTCTCCCTGAGAGTACAAGGACAACTGTGGTCCTGGTCACATGAATGTTCAGTAGTCAGGAAGCAGATACAGGGGGCTCAGGCGTAGATCCCAAATCTCTATCATATTCCCAGCAGCTTGGGCAGCAGAGGAGCATCTTGTTGGTGAGTTAACTTTGTGAGATGGCCGCGTCCAGCAGTTGACTCTGTGCTCACGCTGGTGACATCCATCTGCCTGGATGCCAGCAGGACCAGAGGCTGTTACTGTTACCTTTAAGTTTTGTACTGTGACATTATGAGGTAGTTATGTTCCTCAGTGTGAATTAATTAGGATTAATGAGTTAATCATACAGCATGTGAACATAATATATTATGATTGTAATATCTTCCTGTAACTCTGCTTTCTTTTTAGCTTTTTTTTTCTTTTCTTTGTTTTCTGATGTCTTTTTTTTTCTTTTTTTTTCCTCTCTTTCTGTTTTTTCTTCCTTTCTTTTTTAACCTTTTTTTTTCCCTTTCATCAGGACAGGACACAGTGAAGGACTCCTCTGTCCGATTAGGAGCTGTAGGTGGAAACGGATTTAAAGCAGCTGTGGAAACACCATCCCTGGATAAAACATACAGGTAATACAGAACTAGCCCAGGAGGGAAGTGAGGGTACCTGGCTAGATGATTCAGAGATCACAGCTCTGACCTCTACCTGAAGCTTTTCAAGACGTGTGTCTGCATAGGAGGCTGTGCTGAGAAGATCTTGGCCTTTTGCAGAGCAGAGTTTCTGGGGTAGCCTACAGAAATTAGGTTATTTTTATTTCTGTTTTTTCTCTTATTATGTGGCAGAGTTGATGTGGGCAGCATCACCGGTGAGGCGATGAATCCCCTGGGGCTTCGATTTCTCACCTGGCTGCCAGATGACAGCTTTCTGGTGGTTGGTCAGGAGCAACATGCTGCTCGGTCTGTCCTTCACCATCTGACTGCACCACCTCATGTGGCTGGAGCTGAAGAGCAGTGCCTGGATTTACGGTACTAGAGAAATGTGTCTGTTACTGTTTGTGGGGTCTGAGACACCTCCATACTGTGCTTAGGTGCAAGTAAATCTCTCACAAGTGCAGCCTGGAGGTTGAGGAGTGGGGAATTTGGCCTCTGTTCTTGCAGAATATACGACGTACGTCATGAAACTAGCTACTGGACAGCATCTCCCTGTAGTCCTAATGCCTGCGTCCAGCATGATGAGAGGTCATATGCCCGCAGGCCTGTGTTGGTGTCAGGTGTCTTTTTTTCTCTGTCTGAATATGAAGCCCTCAAGGGGACTTAATTCCTCTGTTCTCCCCTTTGACTATCATTACCAAGCCAATGTAGAGGGGATTGCTGCCCTTGTTATTCCTCTTGCCCTCAATGCCTGCCACACTTTGTGTCTGCAGTTGAACTAAAACCAGAGCACAAAAAGAAGCCACTTGGGCTCCAGAAATCTGCTTGCTTCTAGAGGGATCCTGAGAGGCCCTTTCTAATGCAGTCAGTGGATATAGGTTGATTTGCTATAGAGCTATAGAGCAAAAAGTGAGTTGTGCAGAGAGCAACTAGCACTATTAGGCCAAATGCATGTTGACTAAGATTGCTGATTCTCTGTAATGCCGGTATCAACTTAGAGAGGTGTGAAAAGACTTTGCAGAGACCCTTAAATCAGCAAGGTGTGTGTCCATTCTAGAGAGGGGCACCTTTCCACCTCGCTGCGGGAAATACAGAGCGTGGGTGTTACGTATCTCCTGTCACTCTGATGTTCTTTGTCTTTTGTGCCTTATCCTAGGCTGTCTGTGTCAGTAGATGGAGAAGTGATCAGTCTGTGTTGCAGCCCAGTGACCCGAACTGTAGCTCTACAGCTGGCTGATGGGCAGGTTCTGAAGTACCTCTGGGGTGAGCTGATGTCCATTCAGAGTCCTGAACAGAGTAAAGTCACAGATTCCTCCAAAGGTTTAATGAGATGATTCTGCTTTCAGGGACATGGGTGGCTCTTGCTGTTATTTGATGCTGCATGTTCTTTTTGCTCCCAGAATCAGGTTAAAATTAGTGATTTGTTCCTGCAAGTAGTTAATATTGCTAAGAATGGTAGCTCTGACTGTGTGCTTTGAAAAGAAGATGGCTGGGTTAGTACTTTAAGTAATGCTGACTGACTGCCAAGTCCTTGACAGTTCTCCCTTGTTGCACAGTGGAACAATGATGCTGCTGGGCCCACAGAAGTTACCACCTTCCTGTCTGTTGTGTGCTGGTCTTCCTTTCTGTCAGATGTTGAAATATTGTAGCTTCTGCAAGTATACCTGGCAGCAGTTCCCTTGGGGTACAGGTCTTCTGGTGTAATTTCTGGAGCTTTGGCTGGAAAACAATTTTGATCTTCCTTGTTTAGAGGCTTCCACTCCACTCCTTGAGCCCTGGCAAACCAGGAACGGTTCTGCTGTTCGTTTCCCTCACCCTTGTGTGCAGACTTCTCTCACCAGAATCAATGGAGAAGTAAGTAAGAGAGCGAGCAACTTGAATTCCTAATAGTCCCTGTATTAAATATCTGCTCATTCTCTGGCCATATTCCAGTGATGCTTAACTGTTCTTCTCATAAAGACATATGCAGAGCAGAGAGATGATCTTTCCTTGTCTTGTAGAGCATTTGTCATGGCTTATGGCTAACACAGTCTCTCCTTCCTACTAGTACTATAAATATGATTAAAGAGTGAGGAATTGCAAATGTAAAGTTACCAGCAGTCACTGCTCTCCTATGTGTGAAAAGAGTATTTTGTTCTATTTTATGTAAGTTACCCCATTGACAGTTAAATCTGCACCAAATTAGACCAGATCTATTCCTGCTGTTTCCTGTTAGTGATTGTTCCTGCTTCTTATAATTGTAAGAAATGACTAGCTTTTGCAATGATAGTTCTATGATTTCTTAACATCCGTGGACACCCAAGTGAATAGTTTACTAATGCTTTTCCTCTGGTGCTCTGGAACCAATGCTGCTGAGTAAAAAGCTGTGATTTGGTATGACTTCTGTTCTGCTACTGCAGAATTGATGTGACAGCATAGATGAAACTGTTTTTTAAGCACAATGCTTAACAAAGAAGCAGTCCTGGTGCAGAGATTGGATGACTGCCTATCCAGCTTCTCTTCAGTAATTCACTTAATTCACCTAATTCACAGTAATTCATAGTGAAGTGCTGAGTACCTTATCATAAGGAAATTTCAGTCTAATGGTTATCAGCTGGTGATGATGAAAATTGTGACCATTTGTAATTGTCATCCTTTTTCTTTACAGGAGGTGATCTTAGGCCTTACAGATCGATGCCGATTTTTTATTAACGATACTGAGGTACCAAAGCGTGTGCCCTTTGTTGCATCCCTTTGTCCTTTGCTAATTGTTCCTGTTCTGCTCTGCACAATGATAAACTTAATTACCTTTCTGCAGGTAGCTTCCAACATCACCTCATTTGCAACATACAATGAGTTTTTGTTGGTGACAACCAACTCCCACACCTGTCAGTGCTTCTCTTTGAAGGACACCACAGTGAAAGGTAAAGATAGCTCTGACTACCTGCTGCTGACAGCTTGTGGCCCTTAACTTTCAACCACAACATATCCCTACTTTTCAATTCCAAACCAACTGCCTTTTGGTCACTTAAACCAACTACTTAAATGACAGAAGAGGGAGGTTGCTCTTAAAAGTCTCACAGAGAGCAAAGAGCATAGGAGCACAGGTTTGTATGCCATATGCTCTTCTTAGGAGTTGTCCCCAACTTGTTGTCCCTTTCTCCATTCTTTTTAACGGGTTAATTCTACATTGCCTCACTCCCCTTCAGATTCATAGCCAAGAAAAGTCTCTGTGCAATTTGAGGGTGCACAGTAGGAAAGGGTGACCAAGTACATACAGTTTTTGGTGTATCTGGCTCTGAGAAATACAGACACCTTAGGAAAAGCAGAATGGCAAGTTACTAGTCCAGTGCTGCTATCATCTTGTCTCTTGAGCTTTAAGTTCGTGAGGCAAGGAGGAGACGTTTCTGTTTTGTGTAGAGCAGTGCTCGGTCCTGAGGGATCTGGAACAACTGAGCACCACTGACTGAATTTTTGACTGTGTGACAATGTTTGGGAGCATCTGTTCATGCAGTAGGACTTTTCAAAGCCGCAGAGCATTGCTTGGAGGAGCAGGTGCCTTGTGTGCGATAACTGTGCTATCTGCAGCCCTTCAGACTGGCCTGAGCAGTGCTGTGGTGCCCAGCAGTGAGGTTGTGCGCAATGTGGAGCGGGGCTCCCGCATCGTCACCCTCGTGCCCCAGGACACCAAGGTTATTCTGCAGGTGAGTGTCCTGCCCCTCTGCCGTGAACTGGTGCATGGGGTTTGTCTCAGTTTGCAACACGTGCAGTCCTGTCCTATCCCACTGCAGGGAGCCACATTGCGAGTCTCCAGCTGTCTGGAATGATTTGAACATGTCCGCGGGAGCTACGAGATTCACACTGGCAGTTAGGGGAACCCCAGCCAGAGCTGGGGAGGGATATACACATTCCTACTGTCAACACTTAGTGCCACGTTTTGACAACGCCCCTTGTGAATCTCAGTCCCCCATCTTGGTGTTTGTGTGAGTTAACAGCCCTCCATTAGTCTTGGCACCAGGTTAGCCAGATCAGTCTGCTCGCTGTGAGAACAAGGAGAGGTTCCTAGAACAGGAAGGGGTTTTCTTTAGAAGGCATCTCTGGAAGTCTGCAGTCCAGCATGCTGCTCAAAGCAGGGCTGATAGGAAGGCTACATCAGGTCTTGTCCTGATCTAGCATTCAAGGCTGTGTCTATGCAGTGATACATGTCTCAACATGGATAAAACACCAGAAAATTCTTCTGTCCAAACAGAACATTTTGTGTAACTTGTAGTCATACCTCTTGGCCTTTTGCCAGGCACCTCTCAGAAGTCCAATTCTGTTGATTCTGATTCTTTCCAATTAAAAGATGTTCCATCAGTGTTCTCCAGTCTCTGTCTCTCTCAAAGAAAGTGGTTCTTAATGAGAGAATTTAAAAATATATGTATAGTCTTCATAGGAAAGAGAAATACTCACTTTGGCAGTAATCTAACAGGCAATTAACAATCTGGATATCCTCGCAGATTGCCTTCCTGGAATTTAACTTTGCTAGCAAAACAGCACAAAAGCAGTGTAGACATTTTTTTTTTCCCACTCATTTGGGGTTTTCTCTGCCAGGTCACCTGCACCCTAGATTTTCTACCATTATACAATTGGCCTTTCAAAAAGGCCAGAAACTATCCCAGTGAGCCAGTGGGCAGCAGACTAGCAGGAGCAGAGTGGAGCTCTTCAGATAGATGCCTTCGACCCGTTAGAATGTGTCTGTACAGTTTGGCCCTTAATGTAGTATCTTGGGTCACAGGAAGAAAATTCTTCAGAGGCTGGATTTTATAGTTTGAGGACAAGTTTTACACCTGCTGAATTCCTCTACTTGGAGAATTCTGTGCTTTTAAGTGTTTTTTCCAGACTGTGACATCTTTACGCTTGCAGTTTCCTGAAGATAAAATATTTCTAAGCTGAGAGAATATTAATATATTTCTCCCAGATTCATTAAAATGAGCAAAGAGACCCCTGTACCCACCAGTAACAGACAAGTCTGGAAGAACTGATCTGTTCTTACTTTGCCTTGGACTAGGTAGAATAATTGCAAGAAAAAAATGTTTGAATCTTGTTTTGTAGATGCCAAGAGGGAATCTGGAAACCATTCACCACCGAGCTCTAGTTCTTGCTCAAATTCAGAAGTGGCTGAACAGGCAAGTGGCACTTGTTCATTATAGTCTTCCTTTCCTCACTCCGATATGTTTGAGAGGCAGCTGGCCTGTTTCTGTCGTGTTGAGCTGTGGTGCTGAGAAGGGACGGAGGCTGGACTGAAGGAATAGACTTTTCAGTGGAAATGAAAACTGTTCCTGAGACTACGAGCCAACGTTCCAGCTTTCAGCAGTCCCAGCTGGCTGCCACTGCCACTGCAGGGTTTACATGTGTGCCAGGACTGGGTGGACAGAAGGAATACCTTAGTCTGCTCCCTTCTCTGGACATTTAGGGCACTTTACAAAGTAACATGCTACTTTTCATGATATGTTTGTTTAATCCTTTTTTTTTACATTGAAGTTTTCAGAAATGGAAGTTGCCCCACAAGATTGAGATGTAGTGAGTTTTTCTTTTCTTTGTTTCTTTTGGTTTTGTTTTTCTTTTTTTTTTTTTTTCCTCTGAAGTGAAAGGCCTGTCTCTCACTGTCCCATTGCTGGGGCTGGGAACCATTGTGATTAGCCTTGCACATCTTATAAGGCAATTTAAATGGTTTCTTGCCCGACCTGTTACTCACATCCCACCGTGTTTCTCCTTTCCTCTAAAGAGTTGTCTTTGTTTTTGGATATTGTACCTATCCAGTTTATAAACTGCACTATTTAATGTATTCCCTCAGGCTTATGTTCTGGGAAGCATTTCAATGTATGAGGAAGCTGAGAATCAACCTCAATCTTCTATATGATCACAACCCCAAGGCAAGTATGCTCAGCTCTCTTCCACACTTTTCTGTATCACCTGAAGTCCATTGGCTTTTAGCAATAGACTCCAAAAGAGCAGGTGGTGCTGACAGTTCTGCTTTCAGGAGGGATGATCAGCTCTGAACTGATGTTCTTACACAGGCAGGTTGAGTCTAGCATATCTTTTGTCTTGCTTATTGGAATGAAGGTCCTTAAAATTGCTCTCCTTACTTTACTAGTTCAGAATAACAGTAGTAATATTTTGTTTGTTTCAGGTATTTCTGGAAAATGTAGAAACCTTTATCAAGCAAATAGATTCTGTGAATTACATCAACTTGTTTTTCACTGAACTGAAGTGAGTATAATTCTCCAGTTGGGGGCATGCATATAGTCAGTGATTGTGGATTCCTTTGCTTATGTACTGACAGCTGTATGGTGTGGATGCAAGGACTCAGCCAGAAATCTGGCATGATGGGTCACAAACACCTCAATAAATTCAGAAGTTTCAGGTACAATCATTGTCTTGCTGGTGAACTCCAGCTTGCAGATATTCAGTATGTTCTGCTAGCAGGAGATCAGGATCTGATTGTTTTGTTTTTTGTCTTATTTTTCTCCAAGTTGCTGTACAACGGTAAATGTGAATACAGAAGGTTTTGCACCCTCATAGGGAAGGGAGAGGAAGACAGCATTGCCTGTCTGAAATCTGAGCCCAGGTAGTTGCTTGGATTTCCTGTAGGGGCGCCCTTTCCATACATTTTTCTCTCAAGGACATAGAAACCAGTGACTTTAAGCCATTGTTAGCCTGAGGATTTCTTAGGCTTGCTGAATTAAATACTTCTTTTAACAGCTGGCACTGTCACTCAGTTTCTCTATTTTATTCTTTTTTATCTTAACTTTTATTCTGAAAGCACAAGAAATACAGCTTGAAAATTAACCTGTTTATCTTTATCCACAATGGAAGAATATCCATTTTAGTGGAAAGCAGTTGTATCTTGACAATCTTGCCTTCTAATTTTTTGTGTTCACAACGCAATTGTGAACTGAGATTCAGCTGGCAGGAATGAAAAACAGTGGAGAGCATCTTGGTTCTGTCAGGTAGTGTGACAGTTTGCCTGTTTGTACTGAATAAGTATATAAACTATATTATTGTGTAGTTAAACTCGGTGGTATGTGTTCTTTGCTTTGTGGTGGATTGTGTGATATAATGTGGTTCTTTCATTGCCTTTTTTTTTTATTTAGAGAAGAAGATTTCACGAAGAGCATGTACCCATCTCTGAATGGTAGCAGTAATGCTCAGCCACAGCAGCATTCAAATCCAAAAAAAGTAAACCTCATATGTGATGTGATGAGAGCTGCCATGGAACGCATTGACCCTCATAAGTGAGCAATTTCTTATTGTAGATGAAGGAACAGGGACTTCAAGGAAGTCATTTGTAGAAAAGGAAAACTGCTATTGCTGTCAGTTACTTTGCTTCAGATCCTCTGAGGGGATTTTTAGTCAGAGGTTCTGTGCTGCTGCTGCTTTCCTGGAAAGCATGATTAATGATTCCACAGGCAGCAAAACAGCTTTTCCCCTAAGGATTAAAGAGGTGGGGTTATTACAAGAATTTAGGAAATACAGCAGACAATTTAAAATTGCAGGAGGAATCTTTGTGTGATGGAGGGTAGAGATATAAGTGAGATCATCTTGGGGAGACGCTGGCTTTTTAGAGAGACCTTTCTGAAAAGTCTCACAGGCTTCCTCTGAAACTTGATTGCCTCTGTAATCCTGGTGTAAACATTCTTTCTGCCTCTTTCTGAATGCCAGTGTAGCTTTTTATTTCCATCTTTTTTAGATAAATCAAGATTTTCCAGGGCAGAGTGAAATACATTGTTAAACATGGAAATACATTGTTAAACCATTTTCAACTTTAAATCTGAAACAATAGATAGTGAAGCAAAAGAGAGTGGAGTGCTACTGAATCCTGGTAATATGAAATATCTTTCCCTGGAAAGTTTCAAGATAAAAAAATATTCTTAATTAGAAAAGCTAGAGGATGTATGAAAGTGGAAAGAACTTCCTGAAAGCTTTTCTCTCTAGGAAAAAAAAAAAAAAAAAAAAAGAGACTATTTTCAAGCAAAACTTGATTTGGAAAACTCTCTTTCAGCATATGTTCTTCTATGCTAGCTAGCATGGTAAAGCAGCTCACTTGTGTTCAAAACACACCTCCAGTCACGTTATATGTTAGGAGAAACATTCTGAGTAAAGTTTTCTTTCTCATTTATTCAGTTCTTTTTTCTTCTATGTGATCTGTTGCCCTTCCTTGAAGTGTGTCAGGGGTGGGGAAACAGTAACTTGAGTAGTTTTTCTATACAAAAATAGGAATAAACAGTCTTTCTGCTGTATCATTTTCTTTTACAACTTCCGTTTTCTTCAGATACTGCCTGTCGATACTGACAGCCTACGTAAAGAAAAGTCCTCCAGAGCTGGAAACTGCTCTCCAGAAAGTTCATGACCTTCGAGGTATAGTATCAGGAACCTAGAGGGGTTGAAAATGAGTCATCCTTTGTGATAGATTCTATATGGACCGGGATTATTCTGAAGGTTGTTTTAAAGTTCTTTTTTGAAGATAGGGGTTATGTACTTGCCTTCAGCTGATACTTTGCTCTAGAAATATCAGCAAGTAGCCCTAGATTTGAGCTGTTTTCTCCATCAGGGCTCAGTGTTTTTTATCCAGACAGGAATAGCAGCTTTCTGTTTTAGTTCCCTGTTTCTACAACTGGCAGGCTCTGTTTTTATCCTGTCCTGGTGCTTCTGACTTGCCATGGCTGCACACTGGGTGAGTTACTGTGCTTGGGCACGGCCTTGAAGCTGCCAGATGCCTGGAAAGTTTCAACAAGCAGCACAGATAAAATAACTCTCCTGTAGGACAGAAAGAGCAGTTAGATTAAATAAATTTGGTCTTTACCTGGTACTAAGAACATGTTTGATAGTTCTGTCCCTCCCTCAGAGAGGTGTTTCACTACTGTTGCTGTAGCTAATCATATGTTTTCTTTCTCTCACTCTTTCTTATGCTCTCTCTTGCTCTTTCTCGCTCTCACTCGCACACTTTCTCGTGCGCCCTCTCGTGCTCTTGCTCGCTCTCATGCTCTCGCTCGCTCTCTCATGCGCCCTCTCGCGCTCTCACTCGCTCTCATGCTCTCACTCGCTCTCTCGTTCGCTCACTCTCTTGCGCCCTCTCGCGCACACTCTCACGCGCTCACTCTCTTGCGCCCTCTCGTGCTGTCGCTCTTGCTCTCTCGCTCACTTGCTCGCTCGCTCTCTCACTCTCTCGCGCCCTCTCGCGCTCGCGCTCTCTTTCACTCGCTCTCGCTCTCTTGCGCCCTCTCGCGCTCTCGCTCTCACTCTCGCTCACGCTCTTGCGCCCTCTCGTGCTCTCACTTGCGCTCACTCTTTTGCGCCCTCTCGTGCTCTCACTCTCACACTCTCACTCGCTCTATTGTGCCCTCTTGTGCTCTCGCTCTCTCACTCTCTCGCTCGCACTCTCGCTCACTCTCTTGCGCCCTCTCGCGTGCTCTCTCTCTCTCACATGCTCTCACTCGCCCTCTCGCGCCCGCTCGTGTTCTTGCACACAACTCTTTTTCTCACTTTCACTCCTTCACTCTTTTTCACGCTCTCTTGCTCTCTTCCTTGCTCTTTTTCACTCTCTCCCTCTCACTCACTTTCTCTCTCACTCTTTCTCTTGCTTTGTCTTTCTCCTGCTTTCTTTCACTTTCTCTCTTGTTTTCTCTTTCGCTTTCTCTCTCTTTTTCTTTTTTCTCTCTATTTTTCTCTTTCTCTTTCTCTTTCTTTCTCTCTCTCTCTCTCTCTCTCTCTTTTCCTTTCTCTCTCTTTTTCTCTCTTTTTCTCTCTCTTTTTCTCTCTCTCCCTCTTCCTCTTCCTCTCTCTCTTTTTCTTTTTCTTTTTCTTTTTCTTTTTCTT